ATAACTAATCCGTTTTCACCACCTTGTCTGATGCTTGAAGTTCCAGACAAATAGGGATAAATATTATAGTTTATAGATATTTTTTTAGCTAAATATAGCTAAGTCGTAATAACTTAGCATGTTATATATAAATTTTGTATATATCTTTTAATGTTTTATTTTAGCTCTAGAAATCTGTTTGTTTTAATTTCTAAAATTTAGTTGTAAATCAACTATTTAGTATTTTTTTGTTTTGAAATTTATATATTTTACTTGTTTTTTTAATTAAAATTGAAATCTAACTGTTTTGCATTAAAAGCTAGGCGAGAAACATAAAATAATAACAATAAAAAAGTTTTGTTGAAATATTTAATTATAAACAATATTGCAACATCTAGCTCTAGAAAAAGCATGCATGAACAAAAAAAAAAAAAAATTCTTCGTTAGGGTAGAATACTTGATATACCATCATAAATCATTTGTCATACATTTTACTAAAAGATTTAAGTTTTTACTTTGGAAAGTAGAAAATTAGAAAATTATACCATACTTACGGTTTATCACTTATCTAATTTTAAGGTTGCAGAAATATACTAAAAACTATTTCGAATTTTAGAATAATGATAATTATAAACATATATATATATATATATATATATATATATATATATATATATATATATATATATATATATATATATATATATATATATATATATATATATATATATATATATATATATATATATATATATATATATACATATATATATATATATATATATATATATATATATATATATATATATATATATATATATATATATATATATATATAATATATATATATATATATATATATATACATCCAAAAAAAATATATACATCCAAAAAAAATCATATGCGTAACTAAATCAGGTTAAAATTATGCATTTAAAAAAAAATTCGGATGTAGTTACATTCGAAAAATCTACAGATGTAGTTGCACGAATGTTATTATACGTCAATGAAATTTGGGATGTTGTTGCACGGATGTTATTATACATCGATATATATATATATATATATATATATATATATATATATATATATATATATATATATATATATATATATATATATATAAATAATAGAAGTTTTTTCTTTTTTCGTTTTTAATTATAAACCGCTCTGTTATGAAATTTATATATAATCAAAATAAATTTCTTAAATATTGAGCACTTTTCAACGAACAAGAGTTGTGTATTAATTTAATACAACACTACATAAAACGATATATATATATACATATATATATATATATATATATATATATATATATATATATATTCATATATATATATATATATATATATATATATATATATATATATATATATATATATATTCATATATATATATATATATATATATATATATATATATATATATATATATATATATATATATATATATATATATATATATATATATATTCATATATATATATCAACAAAATCGCAAATTTATATTTTCCAATTATTACGCATTATGGTAACTTTTCAAATATTTTGAAGTTTTTTGAAGCACCACATATATGTTACATAAAACTTCAAGCTAAACTTTTACTAAATCATTATTTTAAAAAATATATTTTGTTATATTTATTCATTGTTTTTTTATCTTTTTATGGTGGTCTTGCTTTTTACTCCATACTTGGTTTTGTAGTTAATTAAGAAAAAGGTTGAAGCGGTCTCTTCTTTACATTTCTAACAAAATCATTGTTGTCCCTTATGAGCTTAACAGATCTTTCATTGCAATCATTAACTTATTTTTAATTATTACTTTTTTTGTTAATACTAATATAAAAACGATTTACGTAAAATAACCAACTAGTTTTTATTGTTGTCGTTGTTAACAACAGCAAGAGAAAAAACAGCATTCTGAAAATTTTGGAAGAAACTATTGCAAGTGCAATATTTGAATGGATGGAGATTCATTTATTGACAGTCATTTTTACTCCAACCTATCATAAGAAACACAAGTCACAAATTTTCTTTAAAATCTAAAGAACTGAGGAACTTAATGTTGGCTCTCATTTGGGCTGATGGATATTCTTTCTTCACACTTTTCATCAGCTAGGCCTATAGCACAATAAGACAAGGGTCAAGAAACCATGTGTGAACAGCATAGAATAATCTTGATGTAAAGTAAGCATAGAATGATCTTGATAAAAAGAACCATGTAGGTTTTTACATAACTGGTTACCATTTTTGTAAAATACTATATTTGTCTAGCATATTCATATTTTTTCACTTTTGTATCCAATTTTTTTTTAAATTTTGAGTAAAACGGTGTTAAGAAGATAATGGATTCCTGTGGAAACTTTATCAAAATATTATAAGTAGTGATTCTCTATAAATGTAGCTCAATAACTCGATATCTGAACTTGTTGGTACTTACTATGAATTTAACTTGTAGCAATTTATTCTCGATAAGAATTTTCCTTGTTTTCTAGCAAACAGTAAGTTCTATAGAATTTGTTGGTTGCTTGATTCTATATTAATTGCTACATAGTACATATTAAATATGCATAGGTATCCATATTTTTTGTGAAATAAAAAGTAATCTCTTTTTTTACACAAAAAATATACATAACTGTGTATAATTAATTATACCAATATATTCTGATTTACTTTTATTTTAGTGTGTGATTGCAAGGAAGTACTACGTTAAACTTGCATTTTTGTGCTTCTGAGGGCAAGTATAAGTTTTGTACTTCCTAGCAGCCCACCATGCTCGCTTCATGAAAAAAAGTTAGGAATTGTAGCTTTATGGCAAAAGGAAGGATTTTGTTGCACATTAACAAATACTTAGCTTTTTAATAAATAAGTATATATAATGAACTCAATTTTGGTATCTACTACCTAAAGCTCCAACCTTTGATGGGTGAAGTAGCCAATTTTAAGAGATTAATGAAATGGCTTGCATCTAAACTAATGGTTTCTTAGAACTGAACTAGTTTCTTTTGCTCCATATCAGATAAGTATTAACTTAAAAAATATTATATGTGCAAATATGGTATACAAGGATTCCAGTATGAAAAAAATGATTTTGGTAATTGATAAAGCATAATTTTTTCTGAACAAAGAATTTAACAATTTTTTCATTCATCATGAAATCTTTTTAGCAAATAAGAAACTGTTTTAGCAGAATCAGGCTTTAAATCTATTCAACGATACACATAGTTTATGGACGCTTATCTTATTGTACTAGGCTTAGCTGATAGATAAATGCGAAAAAAAAGTAAAATTGCTCAAACATTATTGGCGAATATCCATCAGCCTAAATGAGAAAAAACATAGACTTCCTGGCGTATTTATGCACCTAAAATAAAAAGGTGAATTAAAAATAAAAACTGTTAAGTTCATAATAAACAACATTGACGTTGCTAGAAGTGACGTTGCTAGAAGTGACGTTGCTAGAAGTGACGTTGCTAGAAGTGACGTTGCTAGAAGTAACGTTGCTAGAAGTGACGTTGCTAGAAGTGACGTTGCTAGAAGTGACGTTGCTAGAAGTGAAGAGAAGAAACAGATTTTGCATTTATTATTGAACAACTGCAAGAAAAACAAAAAATCAATGAATAAATATAAAAAAATGTATTTTTATAAGTAAATTAATAAAAAGTTTGTTGTAAGAATTTGCTTGATGTTTTATGCAATATATATGTGGTGCTTCTTTTAAAAAACTTTAAAAGTATCTGAAAAGTTACCGTAATGCGTAATAATTGGAAAAAATCGCATAAATTTGCGATTTTTTAGACAGATTTATATACCATAAACAAAATTTCCATGCATTTTTATTTGGTTCTTCTACCTTAGTAGAAACTCTTGAAAAATTTTTTTTTTTTTGAGTTTTAGAAATTACTCAAATGTATCAAAAATGAGCTAAAAAAAGGGTTTCAAAAGTTTAAAATCTGACTTTTGAGGCACTTATTCAACCCTTAAAAATGGTCCGAGTTCAAAATAAAAAAAAATTTTCTAATAAAATATGGGTGTGCGCAGCAGATAAGACTCAATGGTACTTTTAAATTTTTCATATCATCAAAATGAAGTAGTCTAATATATATACATAAGAAAAAAGTAAAAACTTCGGTCAAGAAAGTTTCTTTAAATTTCTATTCGCTTTATAGAATATATAAAAAAAAACTTATTCATATCATTTCATTAAAAGTTATTTTAGTTTCTACAAAAATTGCATTATGGTTGTGTATTTAACGGATTACTTTTATATTAAAATTTTTTGCAAAAAAATTTAAGCGATATAAAGCATAACTTAGTGGATTAACTTTTCTATAACTTATCTCTCATCTCTATAAAAGTAAGTTATACAAGAGTATTATACTATAGATAAAATTTTATCGAAGCTAAAAAAAGTCATAAGAATATATTGACTGCCTTATTAATATGACTCTTAAGTGTGTAGTATACTTTTAGATAAGTACGCTAAATAAACCTCACCCCAAAAGCAACATGGTATTTTTATACATGTATACAAGTTTAAAATTAAAGACTCTATTTTATTATAATATAGTTTTCAATGTTACTGGAGACTAAACTTTTAAAGTCTTAACTTTTGCTGTGATAAAGAACAAAGTGTTAGCTTTAGAAGTTTTATAGAAAAAAAAAGTTGGAAATTTTTTTTTTATAAAGTCTCTTTCCCTTTCCAATAAGTGACGTTCGACGACTAAAAGCTAAAGTCTAAACTACCAGGAATTATAAAAAGTAAAACCAATGTAAATACACCATGATTAAAGTGTTTTGCAGAAGATGCCAGTTGTTATTATAAAAAAAATTATAGAATATTATTAACAAAATAATTATGAAATATTGTTAAATAAAGAATAATGGGTGGCACAAAAAGCCTGTCAATCTTAATGAAGAAATCGCTAAACCCCTTTAAGCTTACATTTCAAAATCATTCTTGATAACTAATTAATTCAGTATTAAATGGATTACAGATTAATGACACGGACCAATAGAAAAAGACTGTTTTTCTTAATAAATTGGGCATTTTTTTGAGAGGACAGCAAAAAAAATGTTTTTACTAGTCGCTATCTCAGTTTTGTTGGTTTCAAATAGTTGTAAGTTTTAAATTTTAGTTTAATTTTTCAATTTGTTATACTAATAATGGCTAATACATATATATATATATATATATATATATATATATATATATATATATATATATATATATATATATATATATATATATATATATATATATATATATATATATATATATATATATAAAAGATCCAAAAATATTATAAATTAAAAGGCTAAATAAATTATTAAAGCTTTTTTTTGACATAAAAAAAGGTGTATTTTGCTTTATCCGGGTTTAGAAAAAGTTTTATTTATTACTTTAGTAATAATTTGATATTAAATATTTCATTTTTATAGACGGCGATTCAATTGGAAAGCGTGCATCGGATCAAAGCAGTAAGATTACATATAAAATACTAAAACTTGAAAAAATTTTAAATCATGATGTTTTAAAAACAATCTTAATTCTTAATCTTCTTTTGAAATTTTTCTTGAGTTTTGAGACAACGTTTGTTTAATGTTACAAACTCCTTAATTGGTGTTTTAACAAATTAGTTTTCCCATCGATTTTATTGCAGCCTTATTCTCTGTAGAAAATTTATAGTTCGTAGAGAATTTATTTGTATAGATAATTGTTTGAAAGCGCATAACAGATTGAGAGCTAAGCATGAAAACACACCTCGATTGGTTCTGGATAACGTTCTCACAAAGAGCGCACAAAAATACGCAGAATACTTAGCTTCCAACAATTTGTTTAAACACAGTGATAGTGATAGTAAATATGGCGAAAATTTATTTATGCTAAAGGGAGGTGTTTCCAAAAATATTTGCGATGAAGCTAGTAATACGTGGTTAGTACTCTTATGTTTTTATATTTCATTTATTTTTATTTTTTACTTTTATTAATCTTTTTTTGCTTCTTAGAAAACTATGACCATTACTTTTTGTTCTTTAATGTAACATTTTATTTTTAAATTTTTGTTTTCTTTTTAGATAAGTAACTTAATTTCATAGTTTTCTCATATACTTGATAATAACTTTATTTATTCTATAAACTAAAATTAACCTTTTAAACAAAAATTAAGGTACTCTGAAATTAAAAATTACGACTATGACGAACCCGGTTACGCTGAAGAAACGGGACATTTTACCCAATTGGTATGGAGAGGAAGTAAGAAAGTTGGATTTGGTATTGCAACAAAAGGGAAAAATACTGTTGTAGTTGCGCAGTACTTACCGCCAGGAAACATGGAAGAAGAGTTTGAAGAAAATGTTACGCCTTTAATTTAGTCTTCACTCTATTTTAACGCTATAATGATGAAATTTTTGTAACGTACTAGCAATGAATGATGTAATAAAACATCTAGTGTAAAGATGTGCAAATGTAGCTGTGCTGCAAGTTTTTAAATATATTAGAATTAGATTTTTTAGAACAATTTTGTTTTTATTTATTTGTTTATTTTTTCAAGATTTTTTTTTTTTTTAAGTGTAATTTATTTCGCCGTTAAAGAATGTTTACATTGCATATACATATATCAAAATTAATGGCAGGAGCAAGAAGAAGGCACATTTTGCCTTATCGCCGAGCCCCACATATATAAAAAAAAAACTCTACATAAAAAAAAAAAACTCTACATAACCGTAACATACAAATGTATATAATATAAATATATAAAATATAGGTCAGAATTAAAACAGAAAATAACTAAGAAAATTAAGAAATTCAAAATAGCAAATAACTAAGAATTGTCGAAATGCTAGCAACCGCTAAAATGTTTTAAAATCATTTAAACAAAAAGTTTTAAATAAAAATAAAATTTCATAATTAACATGATCACAAGATGAATTTTAAACATCATTACTTAAATTTGATTGACATAAATAAATTTGTTTTTATTTGATTAAATTTTAAAAGAAACATTTGAAGTCAGATAAATTAAGATCCCTGAATAGTAATAATTGTTTTGATTCATTTTTAAATTGTTCTAATGTAGTCTTGTTTTTGTTGACAATCTCTGGGAATTTTTTCCACAGATAAGGTCCGCGATATTTAATTGAATAGAAGGTTAATTTTAAATTATACTTGAGAAGAACAAAGTTGTTATCAGAAAACTTTGTTGAATATTTATGATTAATTTTATTAAAATAGGTTTGAAAAATTATTGGGGACAATCCCATTTTTGTTTTGAACATAAACAATAAAACTTGGTGTAAATTGAATTTATACACATTTAGAGCACCGAGTGCACGTAAAAGTGGTTCGCAAGGAGTATTTCTGCAGGCTCCAAACACTATTCTGCATGCATGTTTTTGTTTGTTGTAGATTTTCTTTAGTTTTGTATAGCCAGTACTAGCCCACACAATATTACAGTAAGACAAATAGCTGTGAATAAAGGAAAAATACAATTTTTTCAGGGATGCTACATTTAGAAAAGGTTTAGCCTTATAAATCATTGCGATATTTTTTGAGAGTGTTGTTTCAATACTATTTATATGAGAATACGACAGTAAATTTTTATCCAGTTAATTAACTTTAATTTTAAATAAATTTTTAATAATTTTAAATAAATTAATTTTAAATAAATTTTAAATAAATTTTAATTAATTTTAAATAAATTTTTTAATAATATTAATATATTTGCTGGCCGGACCTGTTAAAATAAAGCTCTTTGTAAGCCTATTCGACACCGACAATTTCTATAATTTTTCCTAATAGTTGCCCGGGCCTTTAAAATACGAGTCTTTACCAAATCGACCATTTTTATTTCCATTTCCAGACCGATTTTTTCTATACTTATTCCTTATTTACTTCAATATTTTTTAGTAAAATAATTCATTCTAAAAAATTGCTCAATGAGCAAAAAAAATTTACATGCGCACTTTATCCGCATACATAGAGCTTATGAGTGATACCCTATTAGGGCACAACTCGAAATTAGAAATTGAAACCGACAATAGAAATTTTTATAACTGGGAATTGGACGCTTCGAATTTGCAAAAAAATTTAATTCCAACCTTCAATATTGCACTAAATCCGACAAATTTTTCAGTAAATAAGTAGGAATTAGCAAATGTGAAATAAGTAAGAATTAGATTACTCAAATCAATACACGAATTTTCCAGTGGGCACAAGAACGTTTTGTAAACGCTTAACATTTTTTTTTAAAGTTAGGTTTTAGAAAAAACTTTTACCGATTCAAATTTAGGTGTAGAAGCCTAAATCTGCAGAGATTTTTAACAAAAAGTTTTCTAAATTTTTAATTATTTTGTATTGATATATTATGAAAGTATACAAAAACGTTATAAAATAATTTTTATGTTATTCTATAAGGAGCTCTCTTCAAATGATCGCGTATCAACGTATTGACCAAACCGAATTTTTTTGCATGTCACACCAATGTTTCTGAAAAAGAAATACCATATAAATCTTTTATGCATTTTATTAGCACATACAAATGATGTTACAAATGCACATATTTATACAAATATATTCATGGTAAATTCTATGCATAAACATTATACGTTTATTTTATATAAAAAATTTTAAAACGTATTTATCGTTTGATTATGGAATAAAATTAGAAAAACAAACATGTAAAATCTACATTTAAATTTTGCCTGTAATTGCTTTATATAACGTTTTTTTAAATGATCTTTCGTCATATCTTCCAGCTTTGTTAAACAACGATTAATCACTTTTTAACTCAGCAGGTGACGACCCTACAAAATTTATTATATATATTAATGTAAAGAAGTTAATGAAACCAACAAATGAAACTTTTCTTTATTATTTATTTTTGATCAAATTCCCTCATAATATTGCATTTATTTATTTAAAATGAATTAATAAATATTACATATTAAAAACCTATTATAGATAATTACAATGTAATGGTTTTTAAATATTGTAATGCTTTGTAAAATAAAGAATAGTGAAAAATATTGATCCCTCCCCCAACCCAATGCGTATGTATTATCAATTACCTCCAATTGACTTTATAAACTATATGTATATGTATATATATATATATATATATATATATATATATATATATATATATATATATATATATATATATATATATATATATATATATATATATAATGTATATACAATGTATATACAATGTATATATAGTTTATAAAGTCATTAGGAGATGGATAATTTTTTAAGGATGCTATTAATTTAATGGCATCTTAAATAAACTTTCCTAATATGACTTCATAAATAATATAGATAGATAGAGAGCTACATTTACAAATATAACAACAGATAAATATATAAAAAAAATCGTTTGCAGCTTGACCTCCATAAAAGACTACTTCAGAAAGAGTTAAAAAAAATTAAACTTATTAAATTATCATAATGATTATTATTATTAACCTCTAGAATAATAAACATAAATTTTTAAACTACTAATATTAGTAATATAGCAAATATCAAGAGTAATAAATAATATCAAGAAAGATATAAAAGTTACGGTAAATTGCTTCTTTGAAGTTGAGAAACTCCTCGTATTATTATTATTGTTTTTGTTATTACTCTTTTTGCTATTATTATTATTTAATCTTCTTTAAAGTCAATTTACTATGCCATGTTAGTAAAATCAAAATATAATATGAGTGAATTGATTTGAGAGAATGTTAAGATGAGGACGGGTGTTCTTGCAAAAGTAGTGCTGATAAATATATAATAGGCGGTCACAAAACACCTGCTCATTTTAGGCAAAAAAATCTGCATCTGAAAAGCTAGAAATTACCAATTTGAATTAAAATAAATTAAAACGTCGTGCTGTTGATCAAGTTTAGAAAAAGGATTGTTTGAACATGTTGACGGCCTTGTTGCATTGCGCACTACAACATTATCATCATCATCATCATCACCGTCTACTTCGTCATCAAGTGACAAAGATACAAAATCTTTATCTTCTGGATCTGCTTCATCATCAACTGATGTTTCAGTTTCTGATAAGTATGCTTTACCAGCAACAGCTAAAAAGCAGAAGATGGTGGTTTCTGAGCAGGAGAAAAATCATTCAGAAAGTCCGACGATTCCAAGAACATTTGCAGCAGAAGGGGTTAGAGAAGCAGATGATAGTTATTCTACCCACTCATTGGATAACAAATGCATGAACTTGGGGTAGTTCATGCATTTGTTATCCAATAGTTGAGCAGCCAGTCCCGATTGCGTTAAAGAAATAATTATCCAGTATTTGGCCAAAATAATACATAAAGAATTAGACTATATACTGTCAAGTAATGACTGCTCACTTGATAATGACCCACCTGCTGCGAAGAGTAGACAAAATAAGTAGAAGCTGTCTTCATTCATCAAACATGGCCATAATTCAAATGACATTCGTAATTATTCGCTATTTTTAGATTTAGTTATTGAACACGCTGCTTCCGATAAGGATGAAGAAAGTGAGTCGAAATTCGAAACAAGCAGTAGTAGCATTAGTAGTGATGAAGATGACGAGCCCTTTAATGATGATGAATTACCTGCAAAAGAAGCTGCTGTTATACAAGCGCATGCTGCATTTACCAACAACCTTTGCAGCAATTATGTGGAAAACGAAATCGCTGATAATGATGCTGCTTTTGACGCGGAAAAAGACGTTTTTTCTCCCGATGATCTGCATAATTTAAAATCAGTTATGGGTCTGGAAATCGAAGAAAGAATGAAAAATATCACTGCTAAAAATCCAAAGAAAGTAATAGTATGGGATATTCTTCTGAAACATATTGCTTCACATCTGGACACAATCAAAAACAACAGTTGTACTTCAAATGTTGTCAAGCTCGAAGCTTGATCTTAAACTGGCAGGCTAGCCAAGGTCTGGAAAAGTATTTATGGAGCCATCGCGTCCTCAAATGGAAACTGCCAGATTGGAGTACATGTAAGTTTAAATAAGAACTATATATTTATAATATATATATTTATAATATACACTTATATATATATAAAACTATATATTTATAATATACACTTATACTTATACTACATATTTATACGAAATATTTATACATTTATACTTTGCGGTGAATTCGGCAAAAATGTACATTATGGATTGCGTGATGGTTTACAGGGATTTTCAATAGGATCAATTCCCAAAGATATTCGCTTTTAACTTGATGAATTGGTTACTCAATTTCCTGAATACTTTGCCAAAAATTCTTGCATATGCATAAAAATATCCAATTTAGAGGAAAAGGCGGACATCGTGTCCATGCACAAATGCGCAACAGTTTGATGCGGATAGTGATTTCAAAAATTTTTCTTCCGTCAATGTAAGTTATGATTCCAACTTAACTTAGGTTTTATTTCTGACTTAATTTTGAAAAGTGTAATTCCTACTTACTTATTTTAATTCTGATTTTATCAAAATGGTTGTCAAACAAGACGTGCTCTACTTAAAGGGGAAGAGAAACAAACATTGCGCACTTTTCAAACTTCAATGAGAATGATTTTGATGTCATCAACCAAATTAGTTTTGTCCATCCATTAAATAAATTTTATGAAATGAAAGAGGAAGGAAACAAACCGAATGCCAAGAATTGCGTCATATGAAACGGTTGATTTTTTGGGACTTTACTATCTCCAAAAAACACCCGAACAATGTTGTACTTGTCAACAGTTCAATTGGCTAGCCAAAAGTCTGCGTTGTTTCCGACATGCAATATAATGGTATAGAAAACAAATTCACAGTGACAATTGCTCCTTTCAAAAAACAAGGAGATTTCTTTGGAGGATATCCGTGCAGTTTATCAGATTTCAATATTTTTCTAGTTTCTGTAGATATAAATCATGACAGAAAACGCGATTTTCTATGCAGACTGCAGAGTAAATCAGTTCGTCTGCCCTTTAAATGAGAAGGAAGTTGCTGATATTGATACTGATACAAAAGAAAAAGGTTAGTTTAACAAAAAATTGCACAGTGCACACCCTTGTTCATTGCTATGACTAGTCTATTTTTCCATGTATATAAAGTATATATTTTTAAAATCAAAAATAGTTCAGTATTTATTTTAGATAATTAATAATGAACACTCGTATATATTTCTTGTAATAAAAAGAATAATAAGATAAAAACATTTATGTATCGAAATTAAGGTAACATAATTCTAACTTATTTGGACTTAAATCAATCCAATTAACTCGAAATTAGTGTAAAACATTTTTCTAACTCCTAATTCCCAGTTATCAGCCCAAAATGTCCGAAAATCGTCAAAAAACGCTTTAATTCCGACTTGAAATGAAGTTTTTCATACTTTTTTGAGCCTTATTCCGAGTTGCGTTTTATTAGGGTAAAATGGTTTGTTTTTCGCCTAAACGCATATATTCGATAGCTCAGTACTGAGTGATCGAATAACAAGTATAGAAAAACATATAAGATAGCGCACTAAACCATATGATTTAGTGTGGTGTCATCAGGGTCGTTTCGGTAGCGTTATCAATTTATAACTTTTTTTAATCTGGGCGTATATATTTACAGCTAACAAAAAAATATATTGCAAAAAAGACTTTTAATTGCCAAAATAAAGTCTAATATTTTTGTTAGCTACGGGCTTTGCTTCTTTTTCCTTTTTGCTTCCACAGCAGCACTTTTTGTTACTACTACTGCTACTACTACTACTACTACTACTACTACTACTACTACTACTACTACTACTACTACTACTACTACTACTACTACTACTACTACTACTACTACTACTACTACTACTACTACTACGACTACTACGACTACTACGACTATTATTATTAGGTTGTGGCATTACTACTACTTTTTAGTTTGGCATTACTAAAACTGTTAAGTTTGGCAGTAATATAGTTTTTAATATAATTATTTGGCAGTAGTATATCCGCTCCTAAAATGTTTGTTATATTAACCATGGTAACTATTTATAATAATTTTTTATTTTATTATTATTAAACTTAGATAACAAAAATAAACTTAAGAGAAGCTTTATACTTTTATTGCAACTCAATTGCAGATTTTTTAAAGCAATGATTTTACGGCGCAATTCTGCGATATCGCCCAGTTTAAATAAAAGCAAAAAAACTTTACCTACGTTTTAAATAAAATCAAATAGCGAGCTCCGAATAGTAAAACTTATTATCGCTTGTTTATTACATGCAGTTATTTCTAACTTGAATAACTGATAACAATAGAAATTGATGCTTAAATAATAAAAGGAAAATACTTTAAGTTAAAGAGTACACATGACCGCACATATTTATAAAAGTTATCCGAGCACAATGAAAATCATTTTTTATTATTATTATTACTTCGGTTTAAAATCGGCGCTGAATTGGTAAAATTGACATAATGAAGCCTATTATAATATAATCTTGGCCAATCATCGGTACATGGGCGGCATCACCGAATTGATGGCACAGATTATCAACCTATGGTTGCTATGCATAGACCAGTCAGAGTTTATTGGATATTTATTTTGACCCATTCTGACCCATTCTGATATACTCCAAATATTACTCTCTAAAATTATATAAACAAATTATTATAAAATAATAATTTGTTTCTGATTCCGAGTTAATCAAGCTTTACTAACAACCCTAACAATAAAACAGAGCCAAATGTTTTTAGAAAATTTAATAACAACTCGTCTACATTTTATCCATCAGCAAGTGTCATTATAATAAAACCACTTGTTTCAATCAAATCAGTAGTGCAGTTTATTTTATTACCAAAGCCGTGTTGTTTTATTATTATAAATTGGTGTACTATTAAGTGTTTTATTATCTTATATAATTCTTTTAGTTATATAATTCGTTTAATTTATTTACATAAAAGCAAAGTTAGTGAAATTGGGCAATAGTTATTTTTTTTTTGTTGAGTGACTAAAAGCTGTAGTATCTGCCAAAAATGACCACAAAAGGTAGATGACTCGACGAGTCATCTACCTTTTGTCCTCTAGGATCAAGATGCGAAGATGTTGAAAAAAAAAAATTATTTTTAATATATTAATTTCTCGTGGCCTTTAGAAGTAGTGGCGATAAACTTTTAATTGTGATACCAAATTTTTTATTTTTATTTTGACCCCGTGTTATTATAACATGAGGTCAAAATGAAAATAATCACTGTTTCTAAAGGTCACGACAAATTAACAAATATATTAAAATCAAATAAGGAAGCAGCGAAAGAATTTACCTAGATTTGTTTTAAATTCTTAGCGTGCATGTTTACTTTTGAGCTTTTAAGAAAATTAACGCACAAAAAAAAGCTAGAAATTACGTTGTCATTGCTTAGCAGTTTATCTAGTTGCATATCAAATTGTGTCAAAACATCACAAATAAAGTCTATTATTAGGAGAAGTAGCAACATTATTGATATTTAATAATGGTACCTCATTATTTAATGGAGTATATATATATATATATATATATATATATATATATACATATATATATATATATATATATATATATATATATATATATATATATATATATATATATATATATATACTTTACAAACTATTTATCAAGAAAAATATACGAGGCTCTACCTTTTTTTATTTTATCGTTCAACTCTAATTCTTTTAACTTTAAGTAGTTTTTTAATTCTTTAACTTTGATTGTCAAAATAGTATCATATTCCATGGTTATTTTATAATTAGTATTGGTTTTTACAAAGTTACAGTATGGGTGACAAATATTGGAATGATTCTAAAATCTTAATTCATAAAAAAGTTAAAAAGTGTCAAATGCATTTTCTTTTTTTCTTTTTTTTTTAATTATTAGTTTAGGATATTGGTTACAAATTACTTAATAAGACCCTTTCTGTTTGAATCACGGATTCGATATGGGACCAAAAAAAGTGAAAAGTAGTTTTGATGAAATCAGCCGACATGGCATCCGAGGTCTTGTAGATGGAGACCTTCAGCGCAATAACGCTATTATAATGATGTTTAAAGAAGTTGAACTAGACATTTGCTTATATATAGTAGTCTAATTGCTTGAGGTCTAAAGAATTGAGTGGACATACATCTTCGGACCAACAATTTGGCAAATTTTGACTAATCCACTCCTGAATCTTTTTTTTTATCATCAAAAAAAGGTTAATACTTTAATAGAACGGACTGTTAAAGTACTTATTGGCTCCGAAAAGGAACCAATTAGTACTTAAACAAGAAAGGAATTAATAAAATTCTTTATTCAAACTATTATACAATGCAAAATTTTAATATAACAATTAGAACTTTAATAGTTACCTATTATAACTACTCAATTTACACTTTTGTTACTTTTTTTTTTACCCTCTCTCCTTCTGGCTCTTATTGCGTCCTTTAACTGTGTTTTGAGGAGTTTTTTAAAATTATAAATTGTACTTTTCCCAAATAGTCTTTTGATACTTCCATCGCGCCGTTTTGTAATTTCTTTAAGCTCTTTCCTTGGTAGTTTCTTTGCGCCATAACTTTTTCATTAGAAGTGTATGTTACAATGCTAAAATCAATTACTAGACGGTATGGTTGGACCTATCTTGAACTTCAATAGAATGTCTTACGAGACTTCTTTTATGCTTATACATTTTTCGCCGTTTAATAACTTTTACAATTTAAAAGTTTATAAATAAAAACACTGGCGAGGGAAGTATAAGAAATTATTTTGTCTTATCACCTAGCCCCAATCGTACGTATTTACAATAACCGTATAATATATTTAAAATTTACAAATTATTTATTGAAAGTTATAAATGTAAAATAAATAACAATTAGTTTAAGAAATACTTCAAGAACAATATTCATGTTAAGAGTAATAATCAAGTAAACAAGAAAAATCGAAAGA